CATTATTTTCCTAATAAATAACTCTAACTTCAAACAGTTCAATTTTCATTTTAAGGAGAATTATTTCTCAATTGACATTTAGTCAGAACAGGTGCTATTATGTTTCCAGCTTTTAAGCTACCTTTGTTACATCTGGATGCCAGAGCTAATCAGAAGGCATTTTCTCTTTTCTGTCTTCACTATGTGAAGCACAGTTTAAAGCTTCTCAGTATATTTTGTAACTCATTAGTTTTTGGCATCCTCTATAGCATATTGGCCAATATGATTCATTCTTTCTTTGAGCACAATTAACTGTGAAAACGGATCTTAGAACAGACTCCCTCCACCCCCAAAGGATTATTGAAGGTAGGAAATGCAGGTGATTATCAGAGTTTGCCTTTGATACAGACATCCTGCTCTCTGCTAGCCCTTTGAACTAACTTTGATATGCAATAATTAAGAGGGATTCAACCCCTGGAGGAGAAGCTGCTGTGGCCCTACCTCTCCTCTCCCTCTATTGAGTCCTTGTTTTGAACTATTGATCAAACAGTTTTGAAGGGATTTGTTGAAGCCTGTGTGGGGTAAGAAAGAAGGAAATGGAGGAAGGAGGAGGAGAGAAATGAGGGGGCATATCTGGTTATAAATAGTTTCAGAAAGAACCGCTGGTCTGACCCTGCTTGTATTTCGCACATCTTACTTATACACAGATTTGCTTCCCTTTTAAAGGAAGCGCTTACAGACGACTTGCTGTTTCCATCGTGGCAAAAGCTCACTTGTGGGTTTAGAGCAGCCCAGCTTCGGAGGAGAGTCCTGAAGAGGCCTAGGAGACTTGGAGATTGAAGGATGGTGGTGGTGGCCTTGCTGGGGCTTAGCTGGTTCTTTGCTCCCCTGGGGGCCCTGGTGCTGGACTTCAACAACATCAAGAGCTCTGCCGACCTGCAAGGGGCTCGGAAGGTAAAAGGCAGCTAGGGAGGAGGGGAAGCTGTGCACTCCCGGCTGGGGGAGCTGCATTTGGGTTTAAGTGAGTTCTTCAGATTTTATGTACGAAATATCTTATCTAGAAGGTCAATTGGATTAATTAAGGAGTTGAGAAGACACCCTGGTAGAATCCAGTGGTCTTAGGCATTAACATATTAAATAAGCAATATTTCAGGACACTTAGCTGTAAACATGCCTATAAATCGGGGAGGAAACTAACATTTAGAAATCTGTACCAAGTGCCAGACCTTTTACACATCTTATTTAACCTTCATCACAACTTGAGATAGGTATTTACAGATGATGAAAATGAGACTTAGAGATGATGAAAAATTTAACCAAGGCCACATAGCCGGGAAATATAGGCATAAGAATTTTCACACCGAGTGCCAAGGTGCATTGTTTTGTCACCGTCTCACTTCACAGAATTGTTTTAGGGGTTCTTTCATATATGTATATATGAAAAAGCATCAACTGTGGATGAGGAAATTTGGTCTTTGGTATCTGTTTCTCTGTGTGAACAGCATCCTAAAAATGAGAGGACAGTTCACTTGGGTAAGGCTCACGGAGGTGCTGCTTGGCAAATGGATGCACTGATAGATGTGATTCACTAGAGTAAAAAATTGAATAGGAATGCCACAAACACCAACATTATATTTAGACTGTAGCATAGCTTGTGGAGTTAATAGATACATATCAAAAATCTCATAATCATCTGAAAACTTTTTCTTCCTCATGGGAAAACATTATCTTTCATTTTCACAAAGAGCATAAGAAAATTAAATTTTGAGTTTTAAAAGTAGGACAATTTTTCAAACACATGTAATCTTTGCTGCACATTGGTGATTTGATCTCCCCTTTGTGGGAGAAAACCAATTACACTGAAAAGTTAAGATGCTGCCTAAGGTTTGTCACAGCATTCCAAGTGCCACTATGATTTGGCTTCTTCTACCTCCCGCCTTGAATAAAAAGTCATCTCACAGCTCGCTTGAGTCCTCTAGCCCTGTGACAACACTTTCTCTTCACAGGGTTCACAGTGCTTGTCTGACAATGACTGCAATACCAGAAAATTCTGTCTCAAGCCCCAAGATGAGAAGCCATTCTGTGCTACATGTCGTGGGGTACGGAGGAGGTGCCAACGTAATGCCATGTGCTGTCCAGGAACGCGCTGCATGAATGGTAAACTAACATAAACTCTTGCAGGACTACTTTGCCCCAATGAACAGTGATTTTTAAACTGAAGATAGTATCTGAATTTTATAGACCAGAATATTCCAAGATAGGTACTCTCTAAAGGTTTCCTGGATTCATGCTTGAAGTAAATTCATGCAGCTGCCTTTTCTTGATGAAATAAAACAGTTTTATTTCCTGGCAATAACTCTTGCCAGCAATTTGGAGATGATTTTAAAGGGAGAGTTCAAATTGGAATCTTTCAAATTCTTCTGTTTTCACTTGGATTCCATTAATTACTTAACTACCTTCTTTGCCATATGTGAACATGAAAATATTTACTGCACATGTCTCAGAAATCTAGAAAGTTATATATAAACTGAAGGCAGCGGTACTGCCAAACTATATAATACTATGACAATTAGCATGTCTGTTGTTCTAATCCTTGAAGTTAATAACTCTAACTACACCTGGTTGTCTCTCAGATGTTTGTACTACAATGGAAGATGCAACTCCAATATTGGAAAGGCAGATTGATGTCCATGATGACATAGATATAAAAGGAACAACAAAGCCTCCAATTCAGGAAAACAAACCCAAAAGGAAGCCAAATATTAAGAAGTCACAAGGCAGTAAGGGTAAGAGCAGCATTCTGAGGACTTTTTTTTTTAAAGAAAAACATTTTCTTCTCCAAGGATAGGCTGAAACTGACTCTACTTCTCTCCACCGCAGAAACACATAGGGAGCATGTCCTCTTTCTAATCTCTTTCCATAAGCAGCTACAGAGATCAGGTAAGGGAGTAGCATAAGGTAGTCAGCAGGCCAGGAGGGCCTTGAATAGCCCTAATTATGGACTGGTTAGCAAGAAAACATTTCATTGTTTAATTAAATGTTATATACACTTCTTTTTACAGTCTATAATTTAATAAATGGCAGTTTCCCTTTTTAGATCCTCATGATACGAAACAGAGATGAATGTAGGTGCATTACCCTTCCATTCTCGGACAAAATACGAACTTCACTGAAATGCTTTTTAACAAATTGTGGTCTCAAATTTCAATCTTTGACATAAAAGAGCTAGAAAGTTTGAAGGTGGTAAACTGGCCATTCTTGTTTGTGTTTTCAGATTAACTGGTCCCTTTATAAATAATGGTCTTTCTTTGTGACAGGATAAATCCCATTTAAGAAAACACTGATGAGTGATAATTTCTCAAGATTGAAAATCTTCTTTCTTTGATAAATATTTTAACTTTATAAAAAAGTTAATTGTTAGGTAGGGCTCAAATTTCCATTTCATTATTGCTTTTGGCATGAGACTGAGCCCCAGGAGATGTGCATGCAGTTTCTATTCTTTGTGGCCTTCTGTCCTCCATCCCACGCCTTTATCCCAGTAGCAGTGCCCCCATGTGCCACTCTCCCCATTCACTGCTAAGGCCCATGTTCATCTTGTTACAGGACAAGAGGGAGAAAGCTGTCTTAGAACTTTCGACTGTGGACCTGGACTTTGTTGTGCTCGTCATTTCTGGACTAAAATTTGTAAACCAGTCCTATTGGAGGGACAGGTCTGCTCTAGGAGAGGGCATAAAGAAACTGCTCAAGCTCCAGAAATCTTCCAGCGCTGTGACTGTGGTCCTGGGCTCTTATGTCGAAGTCAAGTGACTGGCAATCGACAACACGCACGGTTAAGAGTGTGCCAAAAAATCTAAAAAACTGTAAATATTTTGAAATAAAGATGACTCATTATTGCATTCAAGCAGACATCACAGACATTAATTTTTAAATCTTTCCATATAAACATATCTTAAAATCAAAGCTTGTAGTAATTGAAATAGACTGGACCGGAGAAGTGTGAGATGCTGCCTTGTGATAGAAACTAGCTGACTTTTGTCTATTTCTGCAGAAAAGTGATTTGATTCTAAACAAAAATGATTAATTTTGACCTAGTGATTCAATTAGTTCAAATAATTTTTAAGTAATTTCTGGTGAAGTTCTGGCAACTGACAGTAGCTTGGGGAAAAAAAAGTGATAGCCATCTGCAGTTCAATGAATTCTTATATTTTACCAGGAAAAATGATCACAGCAAATATTATTTTTCCTTAAAAATCCTATTGTTTGTTTTCTTTCATTTCTTGGAAGGAAAATAGTATTTCACTACAAAATAATTTTATGAATAAAAAAATAAGATTCAAAAGGTAATATTATCTTATGTTTGTATAGTACTTTGCAAGTTACAAAGCATTTTCACATATTTTGTTTGCAATAGCTTTACTTACCATTTGATGACTTTTTATATATTTATATAATTTTTATATTTCAAAGCTAGGGCTTCAATGAGTGTTTTTAGTTATATATTTTTAGCATTTGAACTTAAAAGTTATCTTAGAGGAAAACTAGGGCAAAAAAGTACAATTTTTGTTTGTTTGAAGTTTAAGAAGCAATACTTTGTACATATGGATGTAATTAAAAGCGGTTTTGCTTAGGGAAGCCCTGATGGATTATAACCAGTTGCTTCAGATTTCAAGAGGTAAACCACACACTTGTTCTTCTATTTAAGTATATATTACAAAATTGAATATGGGCCAACCAAAAAAATATAAATTTATGAAGTTTACTAGTTTCTAAAAAAATATCAAACATTTTTCCAGAGGCTAGCCTCGGTGTACCTTAACTGACTAATTTGTAATCAGTAAATAGGAAGAAAGGTAGTAGGGTGATGTGGTTTATAGTATAAGGGTAGTAAATGAGAAAATAAAAATTCCCATTAAAGATTTGCTATCATCTTACCTCTTAATTCTACTAAATCCCCACTAAAGTGTGATCACGAACATAAATATAAACACATTTGCTAATAAAATAAGAACAAGACCATCTGATAATCGTCCAAGAGGTTTTATTGACTACAGTGCAAGCTAAAGCATAAAGAAGAAACAATCATTTAAAAACACCAAAGACCCTTACATAGCAAAGGTTAAGAAATAAATTAAGACTCCTGTTGGGCTGTGCCTGGGAGGAAGGATAGGCATCATTCACTTCGATCCTTGGGTTCTCGGTATTTCCACTGGATATAGTCAAAGATGTCTTTCTCACTATCCACTGGCAGGGGTTCTCCAGCAACTCCTGCAAATAAATGGAGAAAAGAAACATATGAACCAGTTTTAAAATTCGGTTACAGATGGTTCAGGACTGAGAGTTGTACTGGACTCACTTTCAGAAGAAAAAGAAAATGGTAACCAAGCCACTGATAAAAAGATATTGGCTGCCCCCATCCTCCTACACGGGCTGGTGTTTGTCACATATATATGTGCCAGTGCTACAAAAGGAACCTGAAGTGGCCACTGAAGTGATCGTAATTCATTTTTCTTTCTGCTGGATCTCCACTGTAGCCACCATGTATTATATGAAATATACTCTAGTTAGTTCCAAATAAAAATGTGGTCCTTGGACTAGCAGTACTGGTATCACCTGGCAACTCACTAGAAATGCAGAAATCTTGGGCCCTATTCCAAAGCCCACTGAATTAGAATCTGCATTTAATGAGGTCTCCACATGGTTTGTATGCACTCTGACATGTGTAAAGCACTGCTCTAGTCTACAAAGGATGAAAACCCCTATACTACGCTTATAGGACAAAAAGACAAACTTTTCATTTTCCTAGTAGAGAATAGTAAACCACAGAATATATTGTGTAATGTTAAGAAGATCCCTAAAGCAGAGATTAAGCAATTCTTGCTCTTTAAATTTGAAAAGCATGGGGCCGAAGCTACCAGGTTTGGCCTGGCACTAAAAGCAACAATACCTGGGTTCTTCATAAGTCTTAGAGATACGTTTAAAAAAACAAAAACACTTTAGGTCAGTAAGATTTTTTTTCACTGACCATCATAGGTAGAAAGAATTTAATCCATTCTGATAGACCTACTAGAAATAGTTCTTGTCATCACAGGCCTTCAGCTGAGGGCCTGGGAGCATGTATGGACTGAAACCCCTTTGGTTGCCTGAGTGACTACAAAGAAATTAGACTTAACTGCCATAGTTCAAAGCTTTTTAGAGAAATTAAAGTTGCTAGACCAAAATATCTTTGAAAATATCTTTCTCTCCAGATGACTGGGATTATCTCTAATGGACACAAATACTCACCAGTGACTCCCAAGGGACGGATTGTGTATTCATTGATTGTGAAGCCCTTTTCTAGGGCATGCGCTCTCATATTCTTATTGAAAATATCACTGCCCGTGAAATAGAGAACACCACAATAATATTGATCCTTGGGTATCAATCTAAAAAAAAAAAAAGATAAATCTTTTACATTTCAAATTTAGCAAAAATAGGACTCTTAAAATCGATAAGACACAAAAGACCTAAAATAAGTCTATGTGGCCTAATAACCTGAAGAGGAGACTATCATTAGGTAGACCATTCATATTATCCCAACTTTGCAGTTTAGGTTTTAGTAAACTCAACTCTGCAAGAGGTATGGAGAAAAAGTAGTATCGCTTATTACAACTAACTTTCCTCACACAGGAAGCTACTTTGAGCTGTGGAAGGCATTGTGATGAGATGCAAATCTGGAGAAAATAAATTAGATTCTGTAAACAGTCATTATTTATAGTTTCAGGCTAAACACTGTCTGTAGCAGGAACACATGACACTTCAGAATGAAAAGACATTCTAGACATTTATGTGAATTCCAAGGTATATGGAGGAAGTGGAAAAAGGAGAAAAAAAGGAGAAAAAATAGTTAACAGGTCAGCAACAAGTTTTGGGTAATACCTGATATCGATTCTCCTGTGTGGATACTCCTTTTCATCATTTTTATTGGGAAGCTGGCATACACCCTAAAATGGATATTTAAAAGAATGCTTAAAGATGTTCTTAAACTTAAGGCTTAATTTTAATCGAATGTTAATGTGAGGTTATTTTTGCATTAATGGAAGCAGTTTTTGAATTGGGAGCACTTTAACTTGGATTTTCTATGTACTATATATTATCACTACCTTCCTATATACTTTATGATTATTAAAGAACTACATAAAATAGCAGGCAGAGATTATAGTTATGAGGATTTGGTATTTGTGTGATTCTAAACAATAAGCTATTCAAGGAAAGTATCAAACATGAAAGACAGAGACCAAAACAAACAGAAAAAAGTAATTTGAAGAAACAATTATTCAGGAAGAAGAAAAGAAACAAAAAAGCTATCAGTAATATTCTCAGATAAGAGAAGATATTCCATCCATGAAATAAGAGCAGAATATTATGAAAGGTTTAAATCAAAATAAAAAATATGACAGCAAAAGTAGAAGAGTTTGAAATTGAGGAAATCTCCCAGAAATTAGAAGACAGATGAAAAATAAGAAAATTTTAAAAGACAAGAAAATTACGGGATCAGTTTCTTCCTTCTCTACAGGTGAGTTTTCATTATACTTCTATAGTTTTCAAACAGGTATTATCAAAGTCTATTTTGTTACCTTTTCCTTTTCCAGAAAAATGGGCAATAATTCTGGACTAGTCAGCTACCCATTAATATATAAAAAGAGCTACAAATATTGCCAAATTTCAAAATAAAAGTTTCAAGTGCTATATTCTAAGAAAAATACAGTGACAGGCTTCTGGTCCTAAAAAGTAGACTAGTTGATACACATGTCACTAAAAGTCACTGTTTTTTACTCAGCAACCTAGAAAAATTAAAATCTAAAATCTAAAGTGGGTATTTTCTTTAGCTGTTCTTATGGCTGAAAGATTAATGATCCCTGTTTATCTTCAAAATATGAAAACTGCCTTCTAAGGCATTAACATGTTCCAACACAACCTTCAGATGGATCAGAATTTACTTCTATCTGGAATTACCAAGAGGTATTACCTTGCGGATACGGCTGTTTGCATGCCACAGGCAATGATCTTGCTGTTTGTCACATCAGTAATAGGATTTCATCTAATGGCTTTGTTCTTTTCCTCAAGGCTAATTTTATTTCCTGCACTTTTTTCTGAAGTGCTAATGTTAAAGAATTTCTCTGTATTATTGTAAATTCTTTATTAGACTGAGTGGATTAGTTTTGTTTGGCATTTCAGTTAGGTAGCTTCATGCTGTGTGTCTGAAATAAAGCCTCTCATTTCCTCAGGGTAGTCAAAGTATCTTCTATTGTCCCTTGAATCTTTACTATAGATAGTTCACAGAAAATCATCCAAGGCCGAACTTGCACAAAATGCTAAAATTTGAATGGTACTTCATCATATATAAAGCAAACTGTCATCTAAATGTAGAGAAAAATGTGTTTTTCTTCGAAATACTATTATATTCGCAGGAAAAATAGCTCAATTACCTAAAGACCATGATTTTATAAGAAGATTTGGATAACCCTGGCTTTCCTAAGGTTTGATTACTATTAAGGGAATTCATGTTTTGAAGATAACTTTAAAAACACACAAATGGTCATATCTTTTAAACTATTTAGTCAGTGGTTATAGCAACAAGAGGTTTTGAAATCAAGTAGATATGGAATGAGAATGGTTTATTCCACCTTATAAATTGAATTTATTTTGCAGCCAATTTCCTTTTAGGAACCTAGAGATCTTAATTTCTTTGGCTATCTCTGCTAATGTGCATGGACTTAGGGCCATTGCTCTGACTCTTGCCTATCCCTTCCCCTAGGTATCTGCTTGGCTGAATCCTTTACCTCAAGTCTCTCCCCAAGTCTCATCTCCTCAATGAGGCTGCCTCTGACCATCTTATTTAATACTTTCTCTTGCATGCCCATCTCCCCATACCCTGTTCTCCATTTCTTTTTTAAAACCAGTACTTATTATATTAACCTAACATACCATATACTTTACCTATTTATTATATTCATAACTACCAGTCCCTTCCCATACTCCTTAAGTTCTACTTAAATTAACCAATATAGCCCAACTTCCTAGAACAGTGCCTAGAATGCTTAATACATATCTGAAATGACTGAGTACACCTTCTCGTCCTACTGACACCTATTCTCACTGTTTTGTTCTTTCATATCACATACAACAAGGTCTGGACTGACCTCGTCTGGAGCAGTCACTGAGATTTGGCTGCTTGTGCACTTCCTAGGCAAAGGTCTTCTCATTTTTGATTAAGCAGCTCCTAAGATAACCTAGTTTCACCACTGTCAGCAACTCCATGTTCACACATACTTGGCTACCCATCTTTCCTTTTCGGGTTACTCTGGGCCCAACAGCTTATTAATTTTTCCTTGTATTCTTGCTAGCTGGATTACTACAGCCTCTGTTGGCTTTTCCTCTGGATCTTCTTTGAGTACCAGCAAAATATTGTTCATAATGTAAAAAAACACCTTTGCTATTATACTGTGTAAACACCTTCCTGGTTGCTAATTTTGAAAACAGTCGATGCACTTCCCCAGTATGGAATCCCAGTGCCTTTCACAAAGACAACTACTGGTGGAGAGTAAGGCCAGAAGGGGTACCCAGAATATGCTCAGGCATACAAGGACACTCTCCTCTTATAAAACAAACAAATAAACAAACAAACAACTTGTCTAGCTCATATTATTTTTAGGATTTTATCTGATTGAATGTTCTTTAAATGTAAGATTTATACATACTCATTTTAAGAGAATTAAAAATCAATATAAATTTTAAAAGGGTGTCATGGGATATATAAACCCTATTTTAAATAAGATCTCATATGTGTATATACTTTTGGACATAGAATAAGGGCTCCAAATATGCCAGATTCAGGAGAATAGATCACAGATTTAATCCAAAGACTGACTAGAATTTTTATTTTTACATTTCCCAAAGTTCTTTTGAAAACACTGATGTTTGGCCAACTAAGGCTATACACTTCCATAGCCCATTATAATCACCAGGCTGAATTTAATGACGTGATTTTTTTTTGTATGATTAAATATACATAACATAAAATTTACCATTTTAACCATTTTAAAATGTGCAGTTCTGAGGCACTAAATATAGTCATATTGTTGTGCAACTATTACTAGTATCCATCTCCAGAAATTCTTCATCTTCCCCAAATGAAATCCTGTATCCAGTAAACACTAACTCCCCCCAGGCTCTGGCAACCACCATTCTACTCTCTGAATGACATGATATTTCAATTATTTCAACCATCTTCTTCTACTTTTGGTTAAAATTACTCTCAAATTTATGCATTGAGACTTGCTAATTCTAGCATGTCCACTCTTTAAAAACACATTTTAATCATATATCTTGGGAAAAGGGGGGGCACAGAGAAAAGGGGATCCAAATGATATATGTAGGTGAGCAGTAGAATAAAGGAAATCCTTTATTACCTTAGTTCTAGATTTCTATTTGCCTTCCTGTCGGTTTTTATACAGGGCCATTTATTAATATGTTCTTAATCCATTTGCCATTTGTCTTGAATCTTCAAATCTTAATTCCTAGGAAGACTACAGGATTTTGACAGTTCATCATGATGGGTTTCACTTTGAAAATCTCTGCAAGTGTCCCCCTCTATTAACTTCTCTACTTATCATTCCACATAATGTGTTTCTTCCCCCGTGCTTTCTATCACATACTTTGATTCCTTTTTTTCCTTTAGTGTTATAATATATTAATACACTTCAAACAATTCTAATCTCTTTTTTAAGAATTCAGAGTCACAGAATATAAAAACATTTGCTTTTTTTATGGAAAAGCTTATATGTCAAAGTCATTACGGATATTTTTAAAACAGCAGATTATGCCTAGTGATCTATTCTGTTGGCACAGATTATTTATAAGTGGGAAATTTAAAACGAAATTCTTTATTTTGAGATTAGCATCCTGCTAATTCTTCTCTAAGTTCTAAATGGATATTTATTGACTGTAATATTAAGCTACAGTGAGTCACACACTCTGAACGGTTACTAAATAGTCAGATGTGTAAACTCAAAGGAGTACTTACCATGAACTTTGTTTCACCTTTTGACAGAGTATCTGTAATAAAATGAACCTTTTGTAACTGCTCCACAACACGATGTAACAGCTTTGGCTGTAGAAACATAATTAGGGAAATAAAAAAAGAGCAATTACTTTGTTACAGCAAGAAAACATTTTTTATATGTTTTTTGATTATCTACGGAGAAATTGCCAAGTTTTCTTATGTTCTGAGTAAGTACTTTTTTCTTCTAATGGAAAATTCATCTTATCAAATGAAACTTATTTTTAGATACCACCGTCCTTCATCAATATAATGATACCCCCAAAAAACATCATTTGTGTTTATCTATTTCATTATATCAAAAAGTTAACTGCTTCATCTTTAAAAGGTATATATTCCAAAATCAAAAATATTTTGCTTTTGTGAGTTTTCTAATAGACTTAAAGTTTCTTAATATAATATTTTAATAGAAAAATTTATCTGTGATAGACAATAATTCTGGAAATACTTTTCTAAATTTCATCTCTTTCAAATGTTAGACTATCCTTCCAATTCCTTGCAGAAAAACAGCGTGCATCCCCTTTCACAACTTACTTTGCCTTTCACAGAATTCAATCAGTATGAAACACTTCAACTGACTTTCCAGACAGATTAAAACAAAAACTTATTCTGAAAATACTCAACTATCACTTAGAAAATGATATTCACTGCTAAGTACAACTGATCACATTGATTACAAATTCTGAGGAACCTGTTTAGTTGATTCGGAGGTAAAGCTTGGATGGGTCAGAAGAACATCCATGTCACCACTGGACTCTGCACCTATGACAACATAGAAAATGTATAGAATTCTTCATGTAAATTTATCTATTAGGCAAACATGGAACCAAGGTAATGATACACATAGAAGAGCCTTACTTATAGCCTAATTTTCTATTTCACTGTGCTTCATATTCACAATTAGTTAAAAGATTTCGATTTTCTGCCCAACTATTCAGGAAATTGAAGATGTCATCAGAATCTGGTATAAGAACAGTAATTGGCATTAGATATTGCACACACTTGGTTAATTTAATGTATTAAAAATGTACGTAAGTATTCAACAGAGTAAAAACATTTAAAAATAGCTTTAAAATATATCTATAAATACTATATATCTAAAAATCTCAAATTAAACAATATGTTCTAACTATATAAAGTTTAATCAGAAAACTCAATTCAATTCTTATGACTGAACTTATTTAATGAATATTGGTAAAAATTACTATTATGGTATCATGGATAACAACATAGCACATTATAATGACTTAGGCTTTCATTTGATCTCCACTCTAAAACCACATAACTTCAGGCAGATTATATATACTTGTTTAAACCTTTCACTATAATACCATGAAATTTTGTCTCCATTTAGATGGATTTTTTTTTCCACTTCAAATGTCTTTTTTTTTTCAGTATTGCAAATAAGACTATATTCCACTAGACCTCAGTTTCCTTGTCTACAAACTACTAAATATTACTTTGTAGGCCATTGTGCAACTAAATAAGAACATATGTAATAGCATCTAGAATAGTACCTGGCACACAGCTGGCATAAAATAATTGTTGCCTCTCTTTTCATTTTTATAGGTATAATATATGCAAAACATTAGTCATTGAAAACTCTGCAGTGTCTTTGGATCATCACCCTATACATCAATAATCTTTAACCAGATATTTAAACATAAAGAAGACTAGATCGAATGTATGCTGATCCCAGGACATTAATAGAAGTTATTTTAACAAAAAAATTTATTGTCTTTTCTTCTCATTTTTTCTCCTAAAAGTTTGAGTGTCTTCCACCATGTACCTACCACCAAAAATGTACTACTCTATCGATTTAAAAACAAATTACTTGAGCAAAAAATCAGGAAACAACATGAGAGTCCATTAATAGAGGACTAAACTATGGAACATTCACGTGATCAAATGTTATGTGACTATAAAAAAGAATAAGGAGCTTTCTATATACTGATGTGGAAAGATCTCCAGGATGTACTTTTAAGTAAAAAGTAAGGTACAGTACTGTGTATATATTATATTACCTTTGTGAAAGAGAGAGAAAGGAGGAAGCCAAGAATATTTATTCACATTTAGTTATATTTACATGCAGATACATTGGAAGAATACACAAGAAAGTGGTAATTGATGGGACAGTGGTGGGAGAGAGGGAGGGAAGAGAGTAAATAGGGTCAGGGTAGAAGAGAGACTTCTTAGTGTATTTTTTTTTTTTTATATTAAAGCACATAACCATATAACCTATTCAATAATAAAAGTAAAAAGAAATATGTGTGTGTGTTTGTATCCAGAAAGGTTGTCATAATCAACTGCATAATCAACTGGCTTGCTGTGAATCAAAGTTCATGTTTTGAAAATATAGATTCCAAAGCCCCATCAAAGAAGATTCTCATTTAGTACGTTTGTAGCAGGGTACAGCAATGTGTATATTTTTTAAAAAATTACAAGGTATTTCCCAGACTTAAACAACTGGTTAACTTTAATCCTCTCATTTTGCAAATATGGAATATAGGATGTGAAGAGACAGACCTACTTAAAATTATATAGTGATAGGTTTGGCTTGAGGTCAAAAAGACCCCAGGTCTTTTGGCCTCAATCCAATGTTCTTTCTACTTATCGGCAATTATGGATTTAGTCCTTTTCTCTCCCCAACTAGATTCTTATAGCAGCTATCCAGTGAATTTCTGACAGCCTATCATGTATTTCCTAAGCAAAACTCCAAAGGTGGCCAGAGGTTCAGTCAGATATCTATTCTAAAAATTTTAAATGACATTTTTCTATGTCAATTTTTAAAACTAATATTTTAAAACTTATAGCACCCTTCCGAAATTTTGAGCCAATAACAGACCATGCTTGTGTGGTTCCCACTTTGCTCGTATTTACATAGTAAATGGAGATCTGCAGAATATGGTTGTTGTGAGAATTGGTTTTGAACTGGTGCTTCTGAGACATTACTCTTAGATCCATTATGGAAAACTTAGAAAATACAAAAAATAAAACAAACAAATGAAAAAACCTACCCACAGCTTCACAACCATCTAGCCAAACAACCACTATTAGGATTTTAACATACCTAAAATTATTTTATAAATTTTCATTAAAATTAGTCATTAAAATATTATTCTATAATAAATTCAATACGAATTTCCTCTAATTTTTCACACATATTTACTTCCATCTATAAACAAATAAACTACAGGATCTTAGTAAGTCTATGAAGTAACACAAGTTACATCTTTTTAATCCATGTTTCTCATACAATTTTAACATCAAGGCATGAATGACCAAAGTTAGGAAGGAAGCATGTTACCTCGTCTGAAACTGCCACAGACTGTAGCAATGTATTCAGAATCCACTTTTTTAACTTCATTTAGTACAATATCCTAATAGAAGAAAAATTAAGTCAGTATTCTAAAAACAGCTTTCACCAAGTGACATTCTCAATTCTAATCAAATACAATTTAGCACACTCTTACTTGCATTTGTAACATCTCTTCACGAGGAATTCTTTTCTCAAAGTCTTCAAAATATCTATAAAGACAGAATAGGGAAAAGATTTTTGTGACATTTAAATTTTAAAAATTAAATTCCTGCCATATCAAGTGTCCTTTATACCATCAGTTCAAAAATCAAGATTAAAATTCATTAGGTGTCATCCTTTGTGATATTTCATATACTCCATCTAAACTTATTTATAAATAAACTTTTCATTCATATACCAAGAGTAAATAAATATATTTAAGTTAGTATATTTCCAAATTAGACTGCTTCCTATTGTCAAGTCAAGGGGATACAGTTTATTCTTAAATCTTGCAAAATTATTTTCTTTTAAAATGTTATCCTAGTACGGTCCTACAACATGGATGAACACTGACAACATTGTGCTAAGTGAAAGAAGCCACTCATAAAAGACCACATATTGTATGATTTCATTAACATGAAATATCCAAAATTAGCAAATCTACAGGTTTTCCAGAGCTGGGGGGTAGGGAAAATGAGGAGTGACTGCCAATGGGTATGAGCTCTTTTGGGGGTAACAAAAATGCTCTAAAATTGATTGCAGTTATGGTTGTACAACTGAAGCCATTGAATTGTTGTACAATTGCAGTTATGGTTGTACAACTGAAGCCACTGAATTGTTAACTGTAAACAGGTCAATTTTATGGTATATGACTCATACTTCAATAAGGTTGTTATAAAAATATTACCTCAGTATGAAATAACATCTAAGAATAAAGCACCTGTTCAAAACCAACTCTCACAACAACCAAGTTCTTTAGAAGATTCCTATTTACCATGTAAATACAAAGAAAGTGAGAACTATTACCGTCCTGGTCTCTTACTGGCTCAAAGTTTTGGATGGGAAGTATAAGTTTAAAAATATTATGGTAAGGCATCAGGTTCAGAATGTTATTAGGACTGAATTGCCAACAAAACTCTGTATGATTAGAGGAGATACATGCTTATGCATGTATATAGCTTATGCACATTTTTCTTCTTTATTTAAATTTAGTGTTTCGTGTTCATGACCTATCTTCTCAGATAGGCTCTAAACTTAAGAGCTACACTGTGCCTGTTTATATCCTTACCTCAGACCTAATGCAGTGCTTTGTACAATGTAAGCATGAAATAAATACCTGTTGACTGACATACTTAGTTCTATGTATTTTCAGAGGATATTTCCCTCCTAAAGTCAAGAGAATGAGGGAAACACTCAAAACAGGCAAACAAACTAGAAAGCAATAATAAAACATATGAATATAGGCATATTCTCTATAGGAGTCTGCCATAAATCTTAGCACATCTGAATAGAAAAATGATTGTGTTTAGCTAGTTTGAAGAACTATTATGATGTATGGAAGAATGGCTACACATTTTTACTTTTACATCTTAAGTGTCAAAAGAGAACTTGCTATCTTACTTCAGCCCAATTCTCTGATGATGGTTCAATTTATCTTCATTTTTTCTGAGATCTGTATAGAAGATTAAAAAAGTTGAAGTACCAATTTAAACATTTTTGGAAAAAAATGCTAAATTCAGTGATCCTTTTTACAAAGAACTACCTGGAAAATACATTGAAATGACTTTGAAAAAACAATGAAAAAATATGTTCAGATATTCAAATTAATTCATGATTTTTACTTACTGAATCAAAATTTTAATTACAGTTACATGAAATAGTAGATAAAACATACCAAGATCACATCAAATTTCACTAACTATAGCAAAGAGCAGCTCTATAAGAACCTATATTGCTTAATTTATGGTTAATAGCAGCAGTAGTAACCATAACTTCTGAAGGTATTATGAGTAACTAAACTCATTCATATTGTTTGCTTGTTTATTCACTCCTTCATTCAGTTAGTATTTGTTGAGTACCAATTTGTATAGAGACTGTGCTAAAAATCCTGTTGAAAGGAGAGGTATCATCACTTTTTTTAATTAAAAAACTGTCATATCATAACATCATATGTTAAATCTAAAAGTGATTTAGTCCATTTGGATGTTCTTTTACTAGGCATGAGTACAGAAGTAAGCCTTGTTAAAGAAACAGCAAGGTAAGTATACTTCAGAAGTAATTCTTATAATCACATCTCTCTGGAAATGTAAAGTGGAGAAAAATAAGTATCTTTATGATACATGGAGCACTTAGTATTTCTCATAGTTGTGTGTACACAGAAAACACTAAAGTATACGAGTGAAAATGAAACAGGAATATTGAGTTTGTTATATACAGATGTATCAACAGTTATTATATTACATATCTCGGAACTGTGAAATAATATAAAAACCATTACAGTAGATCCTTGACATTCCCAAGGGATGTAACTGAATACTTCTGAGAAACAAATTTTTGAACGCTTTATTCAATATTTCACTCAGATAAACTATATATGCCACAAGCAGAAAAGCACAAACCCTCTCTGAGATGCAGATGTAGCAGAGTTCATTCTCTAGCCATATGGCTCACATAAATTCTAATTAATCATGCCTCGTAAGAGTCAGTTACTATCTTTAAGTAGTTACTAAATACTAAGAACTCTGTTTAGTGCTTTACATACATTATTTCATTAAATCATGAAGCAGAAATGATTAAGCCATTTTGTAGATAAAAACCAAGGCACCATAGTCATTCATTCTGATAATGTGGTGGAGAATGGATTCAAACCCAGGTCAGTTTCTAAAACCTGTCCACAAACCATTTTGGGTTGCTTGCAAGTAGTTGAAACCACAAATATTAAACCCCAAATGCCACAGATGTACTATAATGAGTCCATATGTATACCTTGAAATGTATGAAGAAATAAATTATATTTAAAGGATTGCTATATTAAGTTTAAGAGAAGGGTTTCATAATTACTTAGGCTCTATTTTTATCACTTCTTTGAAAGCAAAAATTCATTCAACAAGCATTGCAAGCCTCTTACAGAATCCTTCTCAATATATATAATAGCTTTTCAGCTGAATGCGTAGGACTTTATTATTGTCTAAAATTTTGTTAAAGAAACAAAGGGAATTTAAATCATCTAAAAATCTGCAAGTGAAATCTGCCTTAAAATCAAAAAAGAATTTCTTGTTCTTCTTGATTTTATTCTGAGTTATAAACCTAAATATGTTTAAGATGAAAATATAAACTACTCTTTATATCTACTCTCTACTGTAGAGTTAAAAAGAAATCTTACTGTTTGTATCTACTAATTGAGAAAGAGTTTTTCAAGTTCTAATTTGTTAGAGCATTAACAGTCCTTCAGAACCATATTTAATCTAAAATTAGTGACCTATTTTACATACTCACCTTCTAATGTTTTAATTCCTTCATCTACGAACTTCCTTGCAGCAGATGGACTAGAAAGAAAGCAAAGCATTATTTCAATATTAAGTGAAACTCAGGATCCTTGTAACAAATAACCAGTAATGCCTTTTCTTGTCAAAAATACATAGAGTTACTATTGAGCTGAATAAGACCTGCTAAAATTGCATGGTTATTTTGGTAATGTTCATTTTTATTCAAAGAGAAGAATTCTTGAAATTTATCAAGGCATCCATGAACTTGGACATGAAAGAGATGTCTAAATAGCTAGGTGTTATAGTGCACAGTACTTTATTCATAAAACAGACATACAGGTATTTGAAAACTGTTCATTCGTTTCATGAGATTTACTGAGGGCCTATTATGTGCCAGATACTCTTCTAGGTACTGAAAATACAACAGAAATAAGACGAATAAGGGCCCTGGTCTTAACTATTTACAATCTACTAGGTAGAGAGAGAGAATAAATAGATACATGAACAAACAAGAAAAATATCAGGTAAATGAATTAAAACAGGGTAATATGACAAAGTAGTTGGGTCCTACTTTAGACTAGATGGTGAGGGATGACCCCTGAGATTATATTTAACAAAGAGATTTTGTACAGAAACAGTGTGGTACAGAAACTGATATTCATGTCAAGAAGGTAATACCGCATAGAAAAAATAGAACTGAAATGGGAGTCAGGAGATATGGCTCTGCCATAGTTATCGCTTTCTGTATTGTTTTCTTGCCTGGAAAAAGAAGATAATATAACAGATGCTCTTTAAAACACCCAAGGAGTCAAGTTCATTTTCAGTATACTAGATTTAGGAATTTAATCTATTTTTGGAGTAACTTTCATCAAAATGTTGCCATTTAAAGGATCATCATATACCTAAAAAAATTTCTCATTCCATGAAGATGAGTTAAGTAAAGCATTACAGCCTTAATAGTTCAAGGCTCATCTTTACTTTGCCCAGTGCCAAAGTAGCCCCCTTTCCTACTAGTTCAAATTTTAAGATAAAGATTCCTTCATTAAAAAATGCTTGAATGCTTGTTTCTAATTCATAAGGTACTATGCTTGGTGTTACGGAAAAAAGTTTAAATGCTTAAGATAAATATTACGCTCAGAGAAGCAAAAGAGGCATAATCTGGAGGGAGTGACAAGATATACAGAGAGCAAGAGTTAGTGGAGTTTAGAGGAAGGAGAGATTATTTCTGGCTAGGGAATTAAACTGGTTTCATGAAGGAGGTAACATTTTCCTTGGATGGGCTTTTACAGTAGAAGCAGCATCTGGAGAACCAGTAAACTGCATGGGCAAAGGCACAGAAGTAGAAAGGTATTGGTTTTGAAGGGAAATAACATGCACTTTAGTTTGGCTGACATAAAAAAATTAAACCAACTCTACTATTGCATCTGTTTAAAAATAGTTCTTACCCAATGCCAGTAACTCGAGTCAGGAAATTGATGGATGAACTTGTATCATCCTGCCGAATCTTTAAGGGGAAAAAAAGGAGCATAACAATGATTTAGGAATGCTTTAAGGACTCAAATGATCTTATTGGAAATGTACCAGTCTGTAAAGGGACCAGAAGAGCCATTTACATTTGCTTGGATAACCCGTACAGAAGTATTTATACATAATCTAGGCAGTTCTAGGTAAATAACAGAGCATCTGAAGATGTCTCATTTCTAATTTATCTAATACTTTTAAAAGACTTAGTCGTAAAAGACTAGAAGTGATATAATCGCAATCATCAAGGGTGAAATAGAACCTTACAAATGCTTGAGAGAGTTTAAACAGGAATTTTAAAAGATAAAATCTTTTAGTCAAAGTTTATAATCTCCCTTCTGAACGGTACTGAAAACAGGAGGTAATTCTATCATATATGCTAACAGCCTCTTAAATGCCACATAAAACAAGTGAACATTTTATAGAAATAAATTCAAATTTTTAAAACAGAACACTTAAAAGCTGTAAACTCCCTTCTTCTCTTTTCCTTCTGAGTCTCACTAGAGTGACATCAATCACCTTACAATGGTGCTCCATGATAGTTGCCATAAAGGCAGACATTATAATCAAATAAGCAAACAAATAAGTTACAATTTTACCTTTTCCAGTTTACGCAATTTTCCAGTTGCTAAAAACTCATCAATCTTTTCAGCAATTTTTGTTCCTACTCCAGGCTATATAGAAAATTTAAAATACAAAAGTCATATAAATATAATGTTTACTAAATGAATCACTAAAAAGTACAAAATGACAAATGAAAAACAAATGATCATCACATAACCAGTACTGAAATAAAGGACAGAAAATCAAGCCCCAGTAACAACATAGTCTCCCAAAGATAAAATATTTAAATGATCGACAAAAGCCTTATAAAGCCTTATAACAATTCTAAGTGACTCCTGCATTTTAAAATTAACTTTGGTTGTAGAAAAATTAGAAAATATAAGTTGCATAAAGAAAAATATTAAAATTCACTTGTTAATTTTATCACTCTGAAAATTAAACTATAACCTATTTAACATCTGCTATATATTGACTTATTTTCTGCTTACCTATAAAAGCAGAGTTACTACATATGTATATACATACTTTTTTCCTTTCAAAAACAGAATCATACATCTTTGTAAAGCGCTTTTTTTCAACTTAAAAATACATCCTGAAAAAAATTTCCACATCAATAAATAAATGCAACTATATTATCTTTAATGGCTGCATAGCATATCAGTGTATAAATGTAATTAAATACCCTACAGGTGAACATTTAGATGGTTTCCACTTTTTGATATTATAACAATGCTATTATGAATTTCATCTGGAACAGAGGTTCTCAAGCTTTTGCATACATCAGCATCACCTGGGGGATATGTTAAAACACAGAATGTCAAGTCTCACCTTAGAATTTCTGATTCAATAGATTGCATTTCTAACAAGTTCCCAGGTGATGCTGATGTGCTGGTCTAGGTATCACACTTGAAGCACCACTGTCCTAGAACTGCACAGTCCAACTGCACAGCAGCCAACCAGCTGTGACAATTCAAGTTTACATTAAAATTAAAAATTCATTTCCTCAGTCACATTAGCCACATTTCAAGAGCTCACTAGCCAAATGTGACTCATGGTTACTGAATTAGACAGCACTGCTCTAGAAAATGAGCCCTAAGAGAGCAGAGGTTCTGTCGTTTTGCTGCTTTATTCCTAGCACCTGGGTGAATACCTGGTATATAAGTGCTCAAAAATTATGACCTAATGAATTCTTGTATACACATAGCTCTACTGGTTTCTTTAGGATAAGTTCCTCAAAGTGGAATTGCTGGGACAAAGGATATATACATTTTGCCAATGTTCTGCCACAAGATCCTTCAGAAAGGTTGTAAACAACTAACTCTTTGGATCAGCAGTAAATGAGTGTCTTTTTTTCCACATCTTTATCCACACAGCATATTATACTTGACAGTTTAACAAGCACTATGTAGCACCTTGCTTTAATTTGCAGCTCTGATTATTAGTGAAGTTGAACTTTTTTTCATTCTTACAGTTAAATGTTCAACATGTATAACATGTGTGCCAGTTACTTCCTACTGTCTCCTAGCCTTAAGTTCATCTTTCTATATTCTTTTTGTTTGTTTTGGTCTTTTCTTTTTGTTTTTTTCTTTTTTTACCCTTTTATAGTCTTGTTTTATTTTATATTTCACGTGTCCCAAGAGTACTGAAAACATATTCAGTACTTTTGAAAATAGTTTGAAATTCAGTTTGAAAATAGCAAACACCAGATAGTAATAAATAAGATTTAGTAAGTAGACTAGGTTTGAAAAGGGAAACTGCTCAGGTTTCTCATATCCTATAGCAGAAGAGACATATTGATCTAAAGCAATTTAGGCCGAGGCTATTTTTCGTACCTAACATTAAGGAATAAAAGGCAAAATACTTATTCTAGAAATTTCTAGAATTATCAAGAAGCACTCATATGCACTAGAAAGTAGGTCTGTTTTAAAAACAATAGTTAAAAAAAATAATGATGACATTTTCATATTAAGTCCAGTCTTATGCTAAAGGAATTCTGGGTACTTTTGTATTCTTTCTGGGATATATCTTAAACTCAGATTGGAGATGAAGTGTATCAGAGCTTGACAGAAGTTTGCCTCTATTTGAGGCAATGAACAGGCTATTTGCGATTAACATATAAAAGGAAATTCAATGGTGATAAAAGGGGAAGAGAATGGAAGTATTTGTGGCTCCTGAGGTTAATACTGGGTAAGTTCACCAATATAGAAATTCAGAATTAAAGTCTAATGTATTTATAACTTGCTTGGCTAATCTGTTTGGGGAAGATATACTGATGTTGAGAACTATTTATGGCACAAAAGATTAAAACCTATACACCAGAGCATGATTTGTATTAATAAATTTAAGATAAAGATGTAGTACATGGCTAATGTGGATAATTTGTCATGTAATCGTAAGTAGTATAAGATTTATGGTAATGTTAAGACTCTGAAAGATGAAAATATAAAGACAGTTATAATTTATATTCTGAAGGCTCTCATGAGAAAATTAAGGACAATCAAATATTACTACCTAAATTCTAGAGGACTTTTGTGAAACACAAGTGGGTAAAGAACAACAGAAGATAATAACTATTGGGACCTGGACTAATCAAAGCTATGTCAGTTTGATATCTTTGAAGGAAAAAATATATATATATGGTCCTTAGTTTTGAAGAACTTAGAATCTTTTAGTGGGATCTCGATGAGAGAATAATCTGATTATCAATAGGTAAACTTTCCCAGGATATTTTTAGCAATATTATTACAAATTACCAAGAGAGGAGACCCTCTAGAAATTGTGACACTACTAGCATACAGGACTTTATGGAATTTGCAGAGGATAGGGCTAAATGCCATAATACACAAATGGGTTTAATCATGTGCTTATTAGTGGGTAAGATCTCTCTGTGAACACTAACTCACATAAGTTTCTATACCTGGGGATCAGGAAAAAGTAGCAGGGGACCAGATATGCTAGTACCACTCTGTCACCATACTCTCCTTCAGTTCTACACTCAAGCTGAAAATGAGTGTGAGTACATTTATATATAAAGAAAGAAAATTGTAATTACATCTATTTAATTTTTAAAAATCTACCTGATCCTCCACTCAAAATATTCTGAGCTTGAAAAATTGTGCTTGAAACAGCATAAATATTATTCCAAGAAATCAGGAGCAGTGAAATCTGCTTGTGTTGGTGGTCAAGGCAACTTTAGAGAGGCAAATTTAGTTCTGTAGGAGTCCACCAAATTTGTACATGTGTGAATTCTTCGATCAACTTTCTCACTAAACTTACCAATTTCTTAGCTTCCGCTCCACTCTTTATTTTGTGTGGGTACTTTGCTATCACAGATGCTGCTTTTCTATAAGAGAAAAACAAAGGAAAACCAATTATAAATCCAGTAAGGTCTTAATTTTTCTTAAATTGGAAGGCACATACAAGCAAATATGCAACTTAAACTTTCACCAAGATAATTAATTTTCCATATTCGAATAAAACTTATAAAAAACTCAGATGAGCTGGCAGACCACCTATGTCTCTAATTTTTAAAAGTATCTCTTGCAACATCCTCACATTTGAGGATAACTGTATATTTAAAACCAGGGAGATAAAGGAAACAACTTGCCTTCCCTTTTTAGAATTAAGTGGGAAATATCATTGGGTCTTTTTTTTTTTAATAGCTAGTTTTTTGAAATTATTCATAACTCTCAGAAAAATGTGCCACCTAGTAGTATTCAGACCACTAGATACCCAATTGGCTCATGGAAAGCTATTTTTAAATTAATGGTTTAAACTGCTTTCTCCTATGCCCTTAATAACAGCTTTATTTCCCCCCGCCCATTGCTCTCATTTCAGTTCCACATAAGGTAGTGATGTGTGATGCTTGCCCACCTCCACACATATCCAGCTCAGGAATCTGGTGACAGATTCAGTACACCCTGGAAGCTCACTGATGGTATCCTGTCTATAATTTCAATACTAAATGTGGTTTAGCATTGATGCTGATAAAAAGCCAGTAATACATCTAAGTCTAAAATGTAAATATTGGATAATCTTTAGAATTCTTGTTTTTCATTCTATTCTAACACATATAAACATTTAGTCTTGGATTTCAACTTCATTAGCATAATACTGATGATCAGTCTGGAAAAGTAGGTTGAGGGCAGTTTGTGGAAGGAATTGTTTCAGTAAAGGCAAGTAGTTCCAGATAATTGGCACTATAGCTATGACAAAGCCTGAAAGGGAAGAATTAGATCATGAAAGGCCTTTTGTATGTTACAATATGTTTGAACTTTATAAAAGTTAAGAGGAAATATTTAATTATTTGATATGGAAGAATGGCAGGATCACATAGCTATTTTCAAAAGAATACTTTGGCCACAATCAAAAGAAATGTAGATGGAGGAAAGGAGGAACATGCAGGGTGCTACTGCTTTTCCAGATTTATTTCCAACTCAGACCATGTCCCTTACGCAAACTGAATGAATGACTTCTCAGAAAATGTTATATCCCTTCATGTCTCAATGCCTTGGCATGTTTTGATTTCTTCTCTAGATTGTTCTTCCCCTCACTTATCCCCTGATGGGCTCCTTCAAGACTAAACTCCTCTCTGAAACCTACTGTGACTCAAATTATAGGGATGAATATCTCTCTGATTTCTAGATCATCAAATGTGCGGCTAATAATACAATTAGTTTACAAAGGAAGTCACAAGAGGTAGAGAGGAGGGAGTGTAATCATCTTCGAATTATGCTGACTGGGAAGGGAAGGAGGAAGTTTAGTTTCATTTTGAAAGGTAGAGATAAAGGGACTATAGGCCTATAAATCTGGAGAAAAGCCCAGTGAGATATAGACTTGGAGTCATTAACATAACCAGTATCCAAAGCTGCCAAGGATGGTAAGGTTGCCAGAAAAAGTATGAAAGTGAGAAAAGATGGCTAAGGGTAGACCTCTAGAAACTACCAACATGAAAAGGTAAGCTAGAAGAGATGAAAGAACAGAGGATTGTGCCATCCCAGAAGTCAGGGGTAAGACTTGAATGGAATGAGCTAGTAGTGAATGTTACTGAGAGTCCAATATGATGAGTCCAATAACATTTCCAGAGGAATAGTAAAACATAAAGTATACTGCAATGAGATAAAGCATGACTAGAGATGTAGGAGTCCGGACAAGGAACACAGAGTATTCAAGAAAGTTCACAGTAAAGTGGAGGAAAGACATATGGTAATTGCTAGCCAGCTGTTTTTTGCTTTTCATTGGGACATGTTTATAGGCTAAGGATCAGAAGCAAGTGGGTGTGAGAATAATGTATAGCATAAGGCCCTGGTTAGATGAACAAGGATGGGATCCAAAAAGGTGACAGGATCTGTCACAGACCAACCAGATGGAAAGAGCTGATTCCTTGAACCACATCTATTTCACAGCAGAGACCTCATCCACTGCCTTTCATTATGGCTTAAAATCAAACTGTATTTTCAGTAATTCGTGTGTGATGATGGGAAAAATATGTATCAGCCTATTTTCAGTCAAGAGTTGGGAGTCAGAATTGATCCTACAGAACTCTGCCCAAGTTCTCTCACAAATATTGCAGTAAAGTACCACCACGGAGTCAAACACTCTCAGTTCTTGCTTTTTTTCTCCCCTTGCAGATGTTCCAAATATCCACTGGACCCTCAGCCCTTTTAATTGCCACACATCCCAGAATGCTTGCTACCAGAGAATGCTGCACCGTCCCACCTGTAAGCATTGTACTTGTGGATAGCCTGGTTCACGTTCTTCTCAAAGTTTGCGAGTTCTGAAAAGGCAACAAAAGGCTCTGGTGAACAAGAACCACGAGTAAACAAATGAGAACTGAGTTTCCCGGAAGGGGACTTAACAGCCTTTTAAAAAACAATGACTTCCCACTTCTACAAGCGATGACACAAGAGTTCCCAGCAGTACTGACAATCAGCCACCGCCCACCGGCGCGGAAGGACGATCGGCACAGAAAGACCGACTACCCGCTGCGAGGGGACGATCCCATTCACTGGGCTGCGGGGACACGAGAGAAGGTGGGGAAGGCAATGGGGTGGGAGGAAAGGAGAAGCCAGCGGCCCCCGGCGCGCTGCTAACCTGTGAGCATATCGGTGATTCCCCCGTTGAGAGTCTCCTGTGGCGCCTTCCGTTTGCTCATGGTGGCCGGCACCCAAGAACCCCTGAGTACTCAGAGCCGGGGACTGGCCCCCTCTCCCAGCTTTAAGGAGGGGCAGGGACTTGGAGAGGCGGGTAGGACCAGCCCAGCCCCGGCACAGACAGCGTGAGCCGCTGAACAATGGCTGCCTCTGACAGGAGGCGCGGCGCGCGGCGCGCGTGGTGACGTCAGGGCTAGGGCCGGTGCCGGCGGCTGGGCTTGAGCGGCGGTGCGTCGGCGTGCGATAAAAGGGAACCGAGAGGGTAGAGGGGACCTGAAACTTGAATTTGGCAGTTGGAAAGTGGATACCTCCAAATTACATCCCAATGGGGTTCCTATGGGAAGACCTGGATTGCTAACCTAAGACATTGTGTGTTTTCCCAGTACGCTTCTCTGAAATCCTCTTCCTACTAGAGGAGTCCAGTTTTGACTCGTCACAACCTCGGAGGGTGCGTTATATAAGGTGGTGGGTGGAGTGAGAGAATACTGACAACTGCTCAATGCACGAATTATATGTGCACAATAATAGTTGCCGAATGCATGGCGTATTTTATGTGATATGAGGCAACACCTGCGTCATACTGTCAAAACTTTCTGTAAAAATACAGCGCAGTCCAAACTACAATGGCATTCTCCTCTACTAGGTGCAGCAGGAGCCTGGAATGAAATATGCCAATAAGAGGAAAGCCTCCCATACAAAACTTTTAAGCACATATGCCAACCAATGTCAAAATATATTTTTTTATCCTCCTGCCTTGTCCAGTATGGACTAAAGTGAAAAAAAACATTAGGGAGGGAGAAGTGCTTCACCTAGTGAGCAATGAAACTATCATTACAGCATGATGACCTATATCTGAGAAATTTACAGTTCTGCTTGAGAAATGAAAGTGATATCAGCAGTATTTTCTTTCACAAGTGTAACTCCTGGAGTTTACACTAAGCTTCCAATTCCAGGCAATTGCTTTATGTGCAAATAAAATTATTACAAAATGATACCTAGTTGCTGTAGAAAAATCTGTAAAATGTATAAAAGGAGAAAATTGAAATCAATGATCGTCGAACCATCCAGTTTAACCAATGTTAATATTTTGGGACATATATTTCCAGTCTTCTAATCCAGTCCTCTTTAAATTCCCATTATTTTTCAATAATGGAATAATGCTTTAGCTATAATTAGTTTAATCACATTGTACCTGGTTGTATTTTTTTTTACAATATCAGTGCACATTTTAAGTTATGGACATTTGTATTTCTGTGTGTGAATTTCCTATTTATATCCTTTGTTCATTTTCTAGTGGAGTAGTCATTTGTTAGATTTTTAATATATTACTACTAATCCTTTTTACACATTTTATTTGTATATTTTAAAAAATATTTGTATGTTCCCTTATCCCTTGCCTTTTAACTTTATTCCGCAGCTTAACACCTTGATTCCTACCTTCATTTAGATATGAGTCTTCTGACTTTTTTTGTTCTTTTTTTCCCATCCAATCTCTATTCCAGGCAAAATAAAATTTCATATTATTTTGTTCTGAAAAATAATCATCTCATTAAATAAAAAAGTCATTACTTCTAAATAATGAAAGTTACTCTAGGGAACTGTGAGATCACTTTTATATAGTATTACGCCAATAAAAAAAAAAATTAGTGCCAGAAAATCCAAGGAAAATAATCAATTCTCTGTCATCTTCGATCGATCAATAACATGATTCACTTAACACTCTCTTCATGAAATAATGTTTTCAATTGGCTTCTAAGATAGAACATGCTCTGTTTCCCTTCTTCCTTACTAGCCACTCAAGTTTGTTGTTTTGTGAGTGGGCCAGTTCCCAGCTCTTCTACTCTCCAACCTCTATGGGAAAATGCCTCAGGCCTTGATCTTCTAACCAGCTTTTCCACTTTGTCCAGTTTCACCTTTTTAAATGTCATATCTAGCTTGAAGACTCCTAAATTTATATTTCTAGTCCTTATCTCCCTTGAGTTCTAGCCCCATATATCAAACTGCCCACTGGCTCATCTCTAGTTGTCCTTAATAGGCACCTCAAAGATAAAATATCCAATAGAACTCTTGCCCCACTAGCTTCTTAACTTTCCCCATTTTAGTTAATGATGCTTTAATCCACCCTGCCATCAGGCCAAAACCTGAGTCATACTTAATTGCTCTTTTCACACTAGACATCCTATCTGTTTGCAAGTCTTTTCCAATCTGTCTCCAGAATATATATTTGAGCTGGATTACTTCTCACTACCTCTACCGCCACTACCTTGAACTTGTTTTGCATTCCTCCTTTATTTTATATCAAGGTGAAGTTTTGTGAAATGTCAAAAAAGCAGTGCTCGTGCTGTGGCAATGTTTGATCCAGGCACACTATTCTAGTTTATAAAATTTTCTATGAAGTTGGATTGTGGGACCTAGTATATGTATTTGATTCATGTTACGAGATACAGAAACTTTTAAATAAATCAATTTAATAATACTGCTAGAGGATATGAGATGCAGGGACTCCCCATCCCATCGCAGCTACACACAGATGTGTCTGAGCAAGGACAGGGGGTGTGGGCACTGCGGTTGACAGATAACCTTTTCTTCTTCTCCATGACAACTCACTCTCAGGTAATCTTTGGAATCCAAAGGAATGGAGTTGCTCTTCCATGCTGGCTCTACTGAGTCACTCTGTGGCTCAAAGGACTACAGACAGGGGGAGCTTAGCATTTATCTACAACACTGCCCAAGGGAGGACAACTACCAACGTGTAGGTAAAGGAAAATGTTAGCAGCAGTGAAACGAAAACAGGAAGAGAGAGGATGGGGCCAGATCAAGTCCATGATTTAAAAGTCTGTTTAAGAAAAGCTGAATCCAATAAAATTCTAGCTGTGAGGACAGGTGGATCAAGGCCTTTGGAGATCAGGAGGGGTCAGGAGAAGATAGGCTGGCACCAAGTGTGGATCCTACTTTGTCCTGAAAGATTCAGATTAGACATTTGTCCAATGGTCTGTGGGGCAACTGTACTTGAAGCACTTTTTTTCAGAGCAGAGAAAGTAGCTGCTGTGGCTTGGTCTCCCTAAAAGCTTGTGCCTGACATCCGCGCTCGCTGGGCCTCTGTGGTGGAGGATTTCCAGTGTGCAGACAAGTTGTTGGCGGTGCCCACGGGGGCCCTTGGTCCACAGTGAATATCTGGGTGCCAAAGACTGCTGGGATGTCATTATAGCAGTGGCCACTGTGGGAGAGCACCAGGCCAGGCAGCCCCATCAGGTGGTCCAGGCCACCCACTGTCGTCAGGAGGCCTGCTCCAGGCTATTCTGCTCCTCTTCTTCCAACTGTAACCAGCTCCAGTCTAGAGACTGAAAGTCAACAGGCAGGTTAAAAATACAATGGCCACCAATATACTTCGAGTTGTTTTTCATTTTCAGGAGGCAACCAGCACAATTTGGAAGGAAATTTAAATCCTCTCATTAATAATAGTTTTGTTATTGCAGGGTACCCTTGAGCTGAAGTAACATATTCAAAACCATACAGGATCTTTTCTTTGGACTAGCCTGGAGTCCCTAAGATTCTGTGACTATGGAAACTGGAAAGGCAATTTTAATATTACTTGTGCTCACGGCACTTATTTATGCTCACTGTGGGTAGGTGGTACCAAGAGTAAATCTCAGCTATTGATTTCCAAATGAAATAGCCTGATTAGACTTCCTTTTCCTCTGGCAGAAATGCAAATTAGCAATGAAAAGATAAAATATACAATGCCAGGAAGAGGAAGAGCAGCAATGAAACATATGCAAAGCCCCAAGTATTGGAGAAGACACTTGAATAAATAGGTGATTATAATTAGCAGTATCCCCTCTGAGTCTTCTGAAAACTGAGAAGCCCCACTAGCTTCTTAACTTTCCCCATCTTAGTTAATGACGCTTTAATCCACCCTGCTGCCATCAGACCAAAACCCTAGGAGTCATACTTAATTGCTAGCAGGTGATTGTATCAGCAGAAAAAGGCCATTTAAAGAGCTGAGGGAATGACTTAAGATCCTCACACAATGTTAGCTTTGTGTTAACATACATGTATTGTGATTAGTTTTTCTTTATGTTTGCTTCCCTATAACTAGTACTACCTACTGCTAAGGTCTGAGTCCCTGGGAAGCAGGGCCAAGACAGGTTCTTGTTTTATCTCTGAAGCCCAGCACAGCAACACCCCCCACCGACACACACACACATACAGATGCTTAGCAATGGTACAAAAGTTGCAGGGGCTGGGGGAAGGCAGAAGCCCTTAGAATAATATTACCTTCTTCATAAGGATCGAGTGTGTTAAGGATAAAATGAGATAGTACACATAAAGTACTTGTATCCATCCAATAATTGTTAGCATTATGATGGTGATGATGATGAAGAATAAATATGTACAGTTGACCCTTGAATGACACGTTTTGAACTGCGCAGGTCCACTTACACGGGAATTTTTTTCCATAAATACAGTGAATGTATTTTCTCTTATGACTTTCTTAATAACATTTTTTTTCTTTAGCTTACTTTATTATAAGAATAACTGTATGTAGTATATATAACGTACAAAATATGTGTTAATTGACTGTTTACGTCATTGGTAAGGAAGGCTTCCTGTCAACAGTAGGTTATAAGCAGTTAAGTTTTGGGGGAGCCAAAAATTATATGTGGATTTTTGACTGTGTGGGGTGTTGGTGCCCCTAACCCTTGTCTTTTTCAAGGGTCAGCTGTACTAGAAAATCCTAAGTGTATGCTGAGGTCAAGGAAATGCTGGATTGCCTTTCCATTTTCTTTTTCTAGTCTGCTGTAGAAAGGATGGGACAGCTGAGATTCACAGAAGCCATTCATTACCCGTAAACTCTGGTCCTGTTCTTTCATGGTGTCTTGCATTGCATTTTCTAGCTGGGTGCAGAGAGTATGTGCTTCAGCCATCAACTCTTCACTAAAGAAAATGATCGAATTATTAGAAAGTGGTCAGTATTACTTTTTCAGAGATAAACCTTCTGTTTAGCATATTTTTAAATAGCTTTGGCAAGATTCTAAGAATTAAATAATAATTATTTTGGTTCTGAGTGTCTTAAAACGCCACGTCATTGATTATTGACTTCATGCATCTAATTAAGCATTTTCAGAAGCCCAAATCCAGCCATGATTATTACTGGTCACAATGTGAAAAAGCAAACAGATCCCTGCTTAATAAAAAATTAAGAGTTCTTTCAGACTTAACTAGACAGCTGAATTTATTAATTCTCTCCAAACTACCAAAATCTAAAGAAATCTCTCAAATCACCTGTTTTTCAATTTTTGAAATGGAAAAAATATATACAAACCAAGCAATTTCCACAGTTCCTTGAGGTCTACAGAAAAGCAAGTTCTGGGAACTGATTTCATTAACCTGTGTTCTCTCTTTTCTATAATAAGAAATGCACGTGTCCTATCAAGAATAGGCCATGGTGAAATAGGGGAGAATATAATAAGTTATTCGTCCTTTTTTAACCTCAGTTCTATGATATGGAAAGACAACTGGCAACCTGTGCTCCCAGGATGACTTTTCTAAGGCTTTGAGGATATCATTAGAGGGAATGTGACAAATCCAGGAAGACAGTGTCTTGAAACTCCTCTCGCCTTGCAAAGTGTGACACTCTGATGGTAGGCACAGAGGGCATCTTTTTCCTTAGCCTCTTCTATGGGGCTGCTAACCAGGTTAAAGGCTCAATGCCAGCTCCAGAGGGCAACGTAAGAGGAATAGGACCTGGTTACTATCCTCAAAGAACTCACAGTAGGTTGGAGAGAGAATTAAGAACCTAAGGCCATATATGATTAAATACCAAAACAGTATAGGCTATGAACTCCTCAAATACAGGAACAGGACTTTTTTAAAACAGCTTTATTGAGATAAATTTATATAACATAAAGTTCACCCATTTAAAGTATACAATTTGATAGTTTCATTGACTTTACAGAGTTATACAACCACCATGATAATCTAGTTTTAGAACATTTTCATCACCCAAAAAGAAATCTTGTACCCATATTAGCTACTTCCCATCCCCCTTCCCCACCTGCCATAGGCAATCATTAATCTATTTTCTATGTCTATAGATTTGCCTTACAGAAACTGATTTTTTTTTTTTTAGGCAAGGCAACCCTTGGTTGACCTCACAGATTTCAAGGACCTTGTCAGCTTACAATCCCTTATTATTATTATTTTTTAATGCCTACAGCACGTGGTCTTCCTAGGTGTTCTCCCATCCAAGTACTAACCAGGCCCTACCCTGCTTAGCTTCCGAGATCAGACGGGATTGGGCTTGTTCAGGGTGGCATGGCCGTAGACAGGAACTGATTTTAACTACCTCCACTGCCTAGGGCCTGGCACATAGAAGGTGCTGAATAAACAGGTATGGGACTGAATTAGAAACAAACGATCCCCACAGGTGATCCAAGAAGAGAGCAATCCCTGAGTGCATGTGCGCTCAGGGCTTCGGAGGAGACAGGAAGCAGATGTGCCCTCCAGATGGCAGGACTGCTCTAGGGAAGGGCATTGGCCAGAGAGTGGCTCTCAAACTTGAGTGTGCATCAGAATCTGCCAGGGCTAGTGAAACACGGGCCGCCGTGCCCCACCCCTGAGCTTCTGATTCAGAATCTACATTTCTAACAAGATGCTGTTGATGCTGCTGGTCTGGACCAGACTTAAAGATAAACTGAGCTAGAGCAAGAACTTGTGTGGGAACAGTGGATCCTCTTGCACAGCCGCTGTGAGGTGCCCATGAATGCCTTGAAAAGGCTCAGGCTGGATCTTCTAGGGAATGGGAAGCCATTGCTAGTTACTGACCAAGGAATAACTTCAAATGGTGTTTTGTAAAGACTAATTTGACCAAAGAGGGCTTGGAGGAAGTAAAGATATGAAGCAGGGAGGCAAAAAGGCTTGCCAGAAAGGGCTGAAGTGTTCTGTTCACCACCTCTCTATCAGTGTACAGGTGACAGGAGGGGAAGGAAGGGATGAATGAGAGGTGATGGGAGGCCGTGGGAGGAAAATGGGAGGTTGGTAATCCAAAGGGATGGAGGGTGAAAGGGAGGAAGAGAGAACTCAGGGGGGATGAATAGGGCCCTCCCTGCAGGGAAGCTGGTTTTGAAGAACAGGTAATGATTGATGGACTACATTACAGCATGTGACTGACTAGCACTTTCAATATTCTTATTGAGCAATTAGTAACCCAACCCTAAGACAAGGAAACTTTAGTTAGCAAGTTACAAGGGACTATGAGACATTTGTCCCCACAGTGCCTAGCATATGTAACAAACACAAAGGAAAAACACGCACAAGATCATCGGACAGACAAAATGGTCTATTGGCACATTTCTATCCCATGACCTCCTAATATTCAAGTTCCCTTGAATATTACACTTGGCACTGTAACTGATGACAATGACGTACCTTTTGTTGACTGTCTCGGGCAAGCTGTAGGGGGCGTTGGGAGGCTGAGACATTAGCTGACCAGAGTGACTAAGGCGAGAAGCATTCATGCTATCTGGGCTGCCACTGACAGGACCACGGACCTTGCTCTAAAAGACAAAACCAAAAAGAAAGTCGACAAAATTTTGGAGCAGAGGGCTGATTCGAATTTTGCATTCACACTATGGCATTTTCTCACAAGACAACTGGCCATAAGACACATGCTATTCCTAGAGAATATTGGTCAACATTTCTATCTGTGACAATAGCTAATAGTTTGCATTTAAGTTTAGTAAATGTTTCTCTATTTACAGGTGTACTTTTTGATAAAAGATTCTAAATACAGAGATTTGAGTGCCTGTATTTGTAGGCTTTATTTCATTAGTTTGGTTGCTTAGTGAACATTTATAAGGAAACTGAAAGAGAGAGGTTTTTATTCTTTTCCAAGCAGAAGACTGAAACACACAAAAAAGTTATCAGTGACTGAATCACCCATCTGTGGGGCAGCTGAGAAGAAAACCAAGATATTCTGACTCCCAGGATGCTGTAACCACTCCACCTCAAAGCCAAGATGCTAAACTAATGGCTCCTGCTCTAGCTACTTGTACTTCCTTACGCCTGCAGCTCACAGACATGACCTATGGTCAACCTTCTCAGCACATCAAGCCACCTCTCCTCTTCGAGTCCCCAACACACTCTCATCTGCTGGCCTCATCTACTGCTCACTGACCCCTTTCCTTGCCCTCACTGTAGCCTGCAGTTCTTCAACCCTTTCAGCCTCTCAAGCTATGGGACACATCCTGGCTCCACACCCTCTCTTCCACCTGAATGTCAAGGTCTAATCTCAATCAGCTATTCCAGCACCCAATTTTGACTTCATCGTCACCTAACCACCTACCTCCTACTCATTCTTCAGGTGAAACAGCACCTCCTTGGGAACGTTTCCCATGGTTCCCTCACCTCTAAAACAAGCTGGCACACCTCCTCTGCATTCGTGCTATAGCTCCTGCTTCCTACAGCTGCTATAGAGCACTTTCCATTCGAAATTGTTCCATTCATTTCCCTGTCTGTGCCCCTCACTAGAGTATGAGCTCCTTGGGTCAGGCACCATGCTTTTTTCTCCCTCCTTTATCTCCAGTTTTCATCACACTGCTGGGCATAGTCAACACTCAATAAATGTGAAATGGATAGACAAGGCAGGTCAGGCCATCACCTGTGAAGAGCTCGACTTCTCTCTCCATCTTAAACTTGTCATCTCTCCTCTTTTCTTTCCCTCCTTACTTATAGGAGGAAATGTCACTCACCCCTTCCCAAGGACAAGACTTCAACTCATGCTCATGATGTTGACCTTTCCACTGGTCTCAGGACTAGAAACTTACTGTCTTCTATCTCTTTGATACTATGAACCCCTCAGTACACTGTCTCCTTCTGCTTGGCCTACAAATATGCTTATCTCCATGACCTGAAAAAACACCATCCATGTGTCCTGCTTCCACCTTAAGCAACTATTTTCCTTCCCATTCTCTTCTTTGCTCTTAAAGGCTATTGATAACTACATAGCTTTCCTTTCAACCTTTTTCACCTTTTTGCAGTCTTCAGAGTGGGGGTTACTCTCCCATTGGCTCTGGTTTCCATGGCTTTTGCCTGGCTCTTTTCCTTTCACTGTCCTGGGCTCTCTTTTTTATGTTATGTTTTTTTTCTGAGCGACATTCAGTGGAATTGCAGCTATATTGAGATGGTGGGCACAGAATGTATGAATTACAATACTAAGCAGCAGACATAGATGAGGGTCATCCACACTGTGCTGACATGCAGACCCTCAAAAGGTCTGTCTATATTTAACTCTAGGAACCTGGGAATGTGACCTTATTGGAAAAAACGGTTTTTACAGATACAGTTAAGGATCCCAAGATGACATCATCCTGGACTATTCAGATGTGACCGAAATCCAATGACAAGTGTTCTTATAAGAGATACCCAGAAGAGAGACACAGAAAAGGCCATGTGAAGATAGGCAAAGAATGGAGTGATGCTGTCACAAGCCAAGGAATGCCTGGGTATTCCTTGAGCCACCAGAAGCGAGAGGGGCAGAAAGGGATTCTCCCCTAGAGCCTACAGAAGCAGCCCAGCCCTGCCAACACCTTGATTTCAGACTTCTGTCCCCCAGAACTGTGACAGAATACTTTGTGGTAATTTATTACAGTGGCCACAGGAAATGAATACATGCATAAATAAAAACAACAGGCCCAGGCCCTAACTCTGCCCCTCCTGCTCATTGTGACTCATGGAGAAGAGAAAATTGAGCAGCAGCAGCTGAGTGGTTTATCTGTGGCTTTGCGGTCTCCCTCGTGGGGTGGTGACAGCTGCACAGAGGTGGAAAGGCACAGAACAGTGGCAGACCGAGGGCTGTGGGCTGGGCTTCAGGGGCTCACTCACACAAGCGATCTTCAGGAGATTCCAGAGTTCCTTCTGTCGCTTCTCCTGAAGCCGAACAACAGTCTTCTCATCCTCATTCATTAAACTCACCACCTCTTCCACCTTGGGCAACAATTCCAGAGCCTTCTGCTTGCAAACCACGGTTTTACTGTAAAGAATAAACAAGGCAAATTCCAGTGGCATTTGGGTTGGAGAAAGCAGAAGAACATAATTTCTGTCAATTATGAATCCAATCAGCAGCCCCAAATAAATTTTCTCCAGGTGGTTTAAGCACATCAGAGGGGAGTGAGGAAATGGCCCCACACAGTCTCGCTGCTTGTCCACATTCCACCTCAAGTAGGAAAGTCGGGGCTTATACCTGAGCTGGGTATAAATCACTCGCACTTTCTTTTCAAAGCCTTGGATTGCCTGAAGTAGCAGCCGCACCATTTCCTGACTGTCACCCTCAGTTCGTTGGTCTGGAAAGAGGAAAGAAGTTGCACAGTTCCTCCAGGTGGCAGGCAGAGAGTACCAATCCCTCATACTTGAGATAACAAGGCACCCGAGCCAGACATAAAAGCCCACTTACCTCTCGGTTTTTCCCTTAGTCTCCTGTAAAGCTCCCTTGCTTGCTCTTCTCTGAAATATACAAAAAAGAAGCTTTGTCTAGATCTGAGGCCAAATAAGCACATTTGAAGCACTGATGAGCTAATTCCTGCCAGCAGAATTACTGATTTCTAGAAGCAAGACTGGCAATATGTCTTGACTGAAGAAAATGATTATTTCTGGTGATATTACAGGTGATATCTATAATAAGGGAGGAAGCGCCTTCGTTATCAAAAATCAAACATCTCCAAGGTTTAATGAGAGAGAATCTTAAGGAAAGGAGTTTCCATTCTGTCCCTCAGATTTCTGGAATTCCCATCCACTTGGCTTCCGCAATAGTGATTCCAGGTGCCAGCACTGGACCTGAGGCTGGACTGGAGAACATGGCTTCCCCTCAGGCCCAGGGTGGACACAAACTCCTATCCCTTTCCCTCCTTAACACAGTGAGACTGGCTGACATTTTCAGAAGTGACTTTCATCTGAAAACTGCAGGAGAATAAATGATTTGAGAAAGTGTAGAATACAAATAAATCAGATTTCTGATATTCGGACTCCTGTTCCTGAGAATCATGGTAAAAGCATCAGAGGATACTGCTGAGCCCAAATAGGACAGCTCCTGAGAGGATGATGCGCTTGCCGGCATCTCTTCCGTCTTCACTGCAGGGGCTGCATATACCTGTGTGATTTCCTACAAGTAGGACTGCTTTGCCTGGGCCCCTTGTTCCCTCCCAGGGCCAAGGCCAAACTCCTGATAAAGATTCAAATGAACAGTTTCCAGGTCCAAACTTCTAGGAGTTGCCAGGTTTCTCTGCTTGACTTTCTGCTCTTCGATCCACACCTGGGTAGGGGGGGCTGGCTGAACAGTGACATCTAATACATGGTAAAGGCTCCTTGCATTACATAAAGCCTTGATTGATTATGAACCACTTCTCTATGCATTATCTGAACTGATCCTACAATTCTGGGAAGTCAGACAGTTTTTCTGGCCACTAAATAGAGATGAAAACTCAGGCTCAGAGTGATGGTAACTTGCCCTCGCTCATCTCCGGAACATTCCAAAATGATTCACTGGGGAACGTGCTCTAGAGGAGAGTGGTCTCACAGAGCTTCCATAATAACCACACGTGATCTCAACATAATACATATGGAAACTCTGGTTAGGGCTTCTGCATGTGCTAGGGACAGCGTGTGGTCCCCTGCTCAGTTGGTACTCACAGATCGTCCAGAGTCCCCCCCTGCTTCCGACCCATTGGGCTCCTCTGCAAGTCCACGATATCAGTCTGCAGTGCCATCATCCGTTCCACCAGATGTTTCACTTCATTCTCCTAATGAAAAAAGCTGTGCTAATGTCATCTGACGTAATAAGAGCATTCTGAGATGCCAGATTTTCAGGGCAAACCCTCCAAATTCACTCAAGACTCATGACTGACTGGCTAGAAGGAATGTGGACTTTGGAGTCAGAGTGACCTGGGTTTGGATCTCGGGTCTACTACTTTCTAGATGTGTGACCCTTGGGAAAATTTTTAACCCTCGATCTGTAGTTTCTTCTACTACAAAATAGGCTTCTAATAGGGCCATTTTAGGAGTTAGGTAAGACAAAGTTATAAGTATCTGGCATGGTACTTGGCATATAGAAGATGCCCTATGTATATTCCTTCTCTTGTCCTAAGTCCATCCAATGTCATCCTATGTGGGAAGGCCTGGACTCTTATTTCATAGATTATGTATATGAGTGCCAAGATAGCATGGAGCACTCACTGTCTCCACAGTTAAATCAGGTTTTGTCTCTACAACAGCCACCTTAAAGCACGCGTTCAGTACTGATTGATAGAAACAGGCATTAAAACATGGAGGTGAAGGTCCTTGCCCAAGTTCACAGGGGAAAAATGGTGAAAAAGTCCACAAAAGTGCCTTGGAGCCCAAGGTCTTCAATTTGTATGAGGTTCACTAAATCATGCTTTCCTTGCCTTTGTAATTAGCATTTTTCAGTGGCATCTGAATTTACACTGTCCTTGCACTCTGCCTAGACTCTTTCTTCCCTATGGATTTAGTGTCCCAACAAAATTAGGCAAAAACTTTTGACTAGATGAAATGTTGCTCATTCGTCCAAGGCCCTTTCTAATAGGAAGAGGTCTAGGCTTGACCCAAGGACACTTCACATTTTGCTCCTTATTCAAATCTGGACCAGTTCTGTCCATCTGTGTAGTTCTTGGGTCTCCACAGTGGGGCGCCCTTTACTGGCTACTCTCCCAGCCTCTTTCCAGAAAATCCTAGTTAAAGTCAAAAGGCACAGTGAGGAAAACTTGAATTCTGACACAGAAGATGGACCTAGTGTTTGAAGAGAAAGTGCAAAATGGTAGAAAAAAAGCCTCATTCTCCACGCTCCCCACTCCTTCCCCATAAAGATATAAACCTAAAATGAGTCTCCTACCCGCCCACAGAGCTCCACAGCCTGTTCCATTTCCCTCCAGGCCAGCAGCAGTTTATCTGATGCTGGAAAAAAAAAAGTAGGAAAAAAAATGAAAAACAAAAAATACAAATTAAAAACACAATGAGACATCACTACACACCAATCAGAATGGCTACAATAAAAAAAAAAAAAAAAAAAAAAAAAAAAAAAGGAAAGAAAGAAACCTCAGAAAGAGAAAACAAGAATGAAATGGTCTCTCCAAACTAATTACAAAGAGTACACTCACTGATCCCAAACTCAGTTTGCTCACTATACTTCTCCAGGTCAATCTGGATGCTGGTCTTAAAGAAATCCAACTTGGCCTTGAGTTGCTGAGACATGGAAGCCATGGAATTCTTCATCTTGGAGAGGCAGCTGTTATTCCGGAGGAGGTTCATCCTGCAGGGACCACAAGAAACAGAGCCTTGGGGCATCTTTGGGATCCAAATACCATTTCCTGTACAATAACAAAACCACCTCAAATGCCAAGGCAGGTCCCTGCTATAATTATTATAGGAGCAGCCACTTATAACCATAAAGACAATTTCCAAGCCCTCAGCAATGTATGATGTTCTGTACCAAATTTGGAACTAGACAGAGTACTACACAAAGGGCCAATAAATCCAAGGGGAAAGGAGTCAGCCAGTCCCTGGCATGACAATCAGGGGAATGTTGCTGACCCAAATTGCAATGAGCACCTCCACGTTCCAAATTCTGCCTCCAGTTCAGCCAGCCAAACCCTCCATTTACACTCCTGCTCCATGTGCTGACCTTATATACACTGTCAGGTCTAAAAAGGCTCCCTCCATCCAGCTCAGCTGACCACTTCCTGCCCATCCAAACCAGTGTCTCCCTCTTGTCTCTCCTAACAGTTGCTTCTGGGCCCCTGCCTCCACCACCTCTCTGTGGCAAAAGCCACCAAGTAATTTTAAATAAGTTAAGCCCCAAACCGCCTGGCACAATACATGGCAGCCCGCTGTCCCAGCTGCAGCCGGTTACAGTCCTCCTTCAGGGTTTGGATGCTGTGCCAGACCTGGCCCCACACTTTTCTCAGCTGGAAGAAGGACAGGTTCCTCTTGGGCTCTTGAACTGGAACAAAGACATACACAATTGTCAGAGAACAACTCCCCTACGATTAACCACGTCCTGCCTTGCGACATCGCTGGCACTTTTACGTTTTTAAAAGTTATATAACTACTATGCTATTACATAACTTTTTTGGGTTATGTAATAGCATAGTAGTTATATAACTTTTTTGGGTGCTACACCTGGTTACTGTTTCATACATTTTTTTGTACTCCATTATAGCACAAGCTTGTATCAGTCAATAAATACCTACTAATTTAAAGTAACGCTGTGTGAACCATGTGGAGACAGTCACACATACACAGGCTCATATGTTTTCAATAGAAACTCTTATGTTTACAATATTTAAGGTCATACGAAGTTTTCTAAAAATGTAGCTTCAACCAGCAGTACTGGAAGATGATTAAATAAGCAGTAAGCCTGGAGATCGCTAAGCCTTTGGACCCTTGATCTGTTTATTCTGTGTGTATGTGTGGAAATAGGAGTGGGAGATGCATAAAAATGTCCATCTAACATAGGCACCAACGGGGGGAAAAAAATCTCCAAAATATACTGTTAAATGAAATGAAAAAGGCAGGTAAGAACAGTACGTATTATGTGCTACCATTTGGGGAAAAAATTTTATACACACACACACACACACAAATGCATACATACGTACATATATACATATAATTATATATAATACATATATAATTATATGTATACGTACATATATACATATAATTATATATATATAACATATTTTATATATATATACATAATTTATAAATACACAGTATACCCTGGGAAAGTATAGCCAAGAATTTGATAGCAGCGGTTTCTCTGGAAGATGCTGGGGAACTGGGTAGAGAGGAACTGGGGAACTTATTTTTCACTGTATATCCTTTTGTACCTTTTGATTTTTTGGTATCCTGTGCATACATTAATTATTAAAATATAAATAAAACTTCGAAAATAAATAAAACGGTCATCTGATTCAAGGTCAGTAGCTTGCAGGCAGTATTTTCTGTCCTCTGTTTAAAGTTCTACCTATGAGGTTGAACTGAAGACTTCCTTCACTCCTTCTGGGCTGGGCCACCCCTCCCACATCCCTATGAAGAAGGCTGCCCCGAGGACTGATCTCTTTGGTGAGGACCCCTCCCCTGGTCCACGTCTCTCTTTCTGGCCTTATTCCGCGCTTTATAAGTGATTTTTTTTTTTTTTAAAGCAATGATGTTCTTACGGATACAGCTGACACTTTCAGGCTGGGGCCGTGGGGTGATCTGAGTCTCATAGGCGATTTTACTGTTGTCAAAGAGAAAAACAAGATCCATGTCCAACGTGCGGCCCTCATTTAGCTACAAAGGGACAAGAACAAAATGAGATCTTGTGGATCCAACCCCACCTCTTTCCAATTAATAAAAAAGAGACTTCAGAGTGTTTCTCACTGTTCGCCAACAGCATCTTCAGCCAGTGAGTAATGAGCGACCATGACCCTTCCTCAATGACTCTGGCCTGTTCCTGTTCCACTTATTAGCTGTTCCTGTTCCACTTATGAGCTGAATGTACACCTTATTTACAACTTATTACAGTCTATTTTATCCTGATTGTCTTTACTGTACAATTGAGATGTTTGCCATTTCCTTTCCTCTCCAGTGATTGTTTCCCGTATGTTAACCTTATCAGCTTTTGGGGACAGGAACCATGACTAGCATTGCTTGGGTTGTCAGCACAGTTCAGTATACAAAAGATACATCATAAACAGTTTTGGTTGACTCAGAAGAATGAAGCATTGCTTTGGCAACGAAGCCAAAAAAAGGGCACTCTAAGTGGTCTAGAACTAACAAATCAAGTGATTCATGTGTCCCACTAGGCCACACAAAGGATCTTATATTCTGACTTAAAAAAACAGGCAAGTATCTGTAGTGTTTGTTGAATAGAACTGATAAAATAAAGCTGAAATCTGAATGCATAATTAGTTTCCTTGCAGGCAAAGTCAGGGAAAAACAGGGCATTCTGTAAGAAGCCAGGGGCTCGCTCACCTTGCCGTCTGAAATACACTGAGTGGCAGGCTTGTCGGGGATCAATGCCAGACCCGCTTCTTGCAGCAGCTCCTGGTCCTCCTCGGGGATTCCTGTGTCGTGACAGATTCTGGCCTTTAAGCTCTGCAGACTCTCATCCTCTGAAACTGGGTAGGTGTGAATGGTGCCTGTGACCATGTTCAATATATGAACTAGCTGCAACACAACCCAGGTGTTATTGGAAAAAAACCCATCTTTAAAGAGATGTCTATCTCTTTGTCTCGATCCTCTATCACTCCCAACATCTCCCAGCCACACAAAGCAAGGGCCTCGCTTGAGGAAGGGAGTCTGAGTGCTGTGGTTTATATACTTTAGTCTTAAATATTCCTGTTTGTCCATAGCTACAACTGTATGACCAATGTCAATCAGCACAGGGGTCTTATGCCCTTACTTAGGTAGAAGGACATTCTCGCAGCAACCTAAATTTCCCCAGTCAGGTGGTCCATGATCTGCTTTTTAATGAGCATTTCTTTCTCATAAGAACCGCCATGTCCCACAGGGACCAGACATGTTGCCTCAAGGCTCCATGCTCACCTTTAAGTTTAAGATGTCATCCAGGGCCTTGAAGCAGCCATTGGGTCCGTACGCAGGATCAGTGCCCCTTTGTCGGGGGTGCCACATTAGCATCAGCTGCAGCCACTTCTCCAGCCGCTGTGCCAGGACACTGAGAAGAGGAACACAGTGTAGGAGGAGACACTTCCAACGCCAGTCTCAGGCTGCCTTAATGTGCAAACTGAAAAGCGCACATCCCACATGCATTTCACCAATATATGCACAGGTGGCAGCCAATAAATGATTATTGAAAATGAATTAATCTGAGAGAAAAAGTGAACATTTCCAACCAAATTAATTATTCAGGTGCTTATCACCTCTCTCGATCAGCTAAAAAAAACACTCCTTCAGATCAGGGATTTCTCAACAGATGGGTCAGCAGACTGATCTCCAACTGGCTGCTGTGAAGCTTTTTAACTGTACTTTATAGGTGTACCAGACCTCTAGGTGATACTCACACACAATCTAGACCACATGCTGCTGGACTTATTTTGTTAATCACCTCCCTCAAAGGCATTGGGTAGGTTCACATGACAAAAGTCACACTCCTTCCCTTGGTACTGCAGGCCCTCCACAGCCTGCTTCCTATAAGTACTCTCAGCTGACTTCTCAATATCCCTCTACAAAATATTCACGGTAATTATTATCCATGCTACTCAACTGTGTGACTCCCTTGCAACTTCCTTGTGTACTATTACCCAATTCTGATATTATTATTTAACGGTTCATATTCTGGCTCTAGGATTAGATCGCAATGCCATTCAAAAGGTTTATTTGTTGCCTATGACAGTATTAGGCTACATAAGGAGTGCAAAGAGAAGAAGTATAATTCCCTACTCTAAAAATGCTTACATTTGAGTAGGAGATAAACTCTATGCAAAACCAAATGTAACACAAGGTAGAAGCTACTAAGGGTAATAAGAGGTGCAGATAAATTGTTATGTAAATTTAGAAGAGGTGATTTCTAGATGAGGGTGAGTGATGGGAATCCATTCTAGGATTGAGATGGGTTATGTCAAGTTTCTAGTCATAGGATGATAACCTGATAACCTATTTAAAAGCCTATGGATAGCACAAAGGAAAGGCCATGTGAGGACAGTGAGAAGGTGGCCAAGGCAGGAGAATTCAACAGAAACCAAACCTGCTGATATCTTGATATTGGAGTTTTAACCTCCAGAAATATGAGAAATAAATTTTTTTAATTAAAAAAAGTCTCTGGATGTCACCTCAGACATGTTTCTGAAAAAAGAAAAATATGTAGAAGAGAAATGTCACTGTGCCTTACCTGTTAAGATTATTGGGATAGGGTAAAGAGCTTGAAAACTTTACTGCTCCATTCAAGTCTTCAAAAACAACAATGTCCATCTCACTCTTGTGCCGGACTTTGGAATGCCTGCAGACATGTATTCTTGTTAATTACAGTCCTTAAAATGGAAACATATCACTTATACAACATACCCCCAGTTACTATTTACTTTTTCGAGATAACAGTCAGTGAGTGCATTTGAATCCTGCTAGGATAGGTTCTTTGAGAGTCTAAGAATGAACAGTACTGCCTGAATGAGAGTAAGAATTGCTTGCTGACTCCTTATCTCAATCTTGTCCTTATCTTTTATTCTACCTTTTGTTTTATCTAATATAAAACTCTTATATTTAGATGAAGGATAAAATCAGGACTTCCAAACCATGATTGTAGCATTCATATCACATTTACAGGAAATATGCACAACACATGCACAAACATATGCACTTTCCTCTTAATGTATATGGTTAAATATTATTTCTAGGGGTAAATAAATTTTTGTATTTCCCAATTTAAAGAACTGATGCATCTGAAATAGTAAAGGGAAAAAATTTTTAAAGCCAACTGGTTTCAAATCTTCTTGGTGACAAGGATAATAATTTGAATAATGCTTCATAGATAACCAAGTACTTTGACACTGAACATGCACTTCTTTGCCATGATAACTCCATATGTGGTCGACACTGTTTTTAGTCCCCCAATCAGTGGTAAGAAAATGAAGATCAGGTGATTTTCCCAAGGTTACACAACTAGAGAGTGGCAGAACCGGGGACTCAAATCCAAAGTCTGGTGAGTTCTTTCTACTCTGCCTGAATGTCCAAATCCTTCCGTTACAAGAACACCTAGGAAATTCAAATAAAAAGTGTTCACCTGCACAATTCTCATTGGTAACGGGCGAACTGATATCTAGAGTACATGGCAAACCCAGAAGAGCTGGTGGATGGCAGAGGCCAGTGGGTTACAGCTCTGGCTAAAACTGATAGCTTTAAGGTAGGTGCACCAACACTTTGGCATTACATACAAGTGGGATGGTCCTCTAATAGAAAACTTAGTCTGTCAATGGGAAATTATAAAAATAAAAGGACATAGTAAATAAAATGCTTATTGCTTAGATCCTATAATATATTTCAAAATAGCTTTATAATAGAATTATAAACAGATGAGACAGGCACTTCTTTCACACTAGTCCACTAAACAGCTCCTTATCGGGCATCAGAGAAATCCACTTGAAAGTGGTCATGTGGCCTTCCAGCACCGATGAGGGGAGTTCTAGGAAGCTGATTGTGCAGATAACAGACTTATTATGAAGATGTTGAGCCATTAGGAATATATTTTCTAATAGTATGTGTTCTTCTAGGTCTAATGGATTTTAACTCTTGTTATGAATAACGTAAAAACCTAACATTTGAACTGAGAAATGTTGTAATTCCCTGGTTAGTTAAAAACACTATAGATTACAGATATTTAAAGTTATTTTTACGATGCTTACATTATAAGGTATGATTATAAATTAATGAGCTAATTCTTCAATATCCAGAATCTACGTAAGCCAACAAGCATTACTTGTTTTAAAATAAGTCACCATACTTTGCCATTTCACCAGACTTCAAGAGCAGGGGCCTTGTTTGCCTCATTTACCTTTGCTTTTCCAACACGTGGTGTATAAATGTTGACTAAACTAGACAGCCATCACATAAAACCACTCTTCTGGAACAGATTTCAAAGGCTACATCTTATTTTTAGAAATAAATATTCTCATGATGCTAATACCTGTTTTTGAAAAAAGTTAATTGTTTTCGCTACTTCCAGAAAAGTATTTAGAAAAATGATAACAGCCAGTGTTGGCAATGGTGTGGTGAAAGGGACAGCTTTGTATGTTCCTGGTGGAAACATTATTTATACAACCTTTCTGTTGAGCATTTTGTTAATATACATCTAAAAACCTTTAAAATGTACATAATCTTTGATCTATTAATTCCATTTCTAGGAATTTATCCCTGGGAAAAATGTATGAGATATATAA